GGCTGGTGGGGCTCTGAGCTCCCAGCTTGGATCAGACTCCGCGAGGTTCATGGAGAAAGACCTGGGTCTCTGCTGCCCCCTGGTGGGCAGGGAGGCGCCCGCACTGCCCCTGCTTGGCCGGGCCCAGACCCGGAAGGACTGCCGCTCCGCTGCCGCCTGGGGCTGTGCAGATGGTGAGGTGCCTGCGAGCTGGGCAGGGACCGCTGGGCCCTGAGGTCACGGGGCCGTTCTGATTCCAGGAGTTCTGTCTCTTTGCCGTCGTGGGCCTGGTGTCCGACTTCTTCCTTCAGATGCTGTTTTTCACCACCGTCCTGTCCATCGACATTCGCAGGATGGAGGTAGGAGTGGGTCCCGCCCTCCTGGGCCCTGGCTGAGCTCACAGGGTCTCTGGGTGAGGTGTGACCTCAGGGGGCTGCTGCCCGGCAGCTCACGCCCACGGGGCAGCTCACATCCAGGGGACAGCTCCCACTGACCACTGTGCCCACAGCTGGCGGACCTGAACAAGCGGCTGCCCCCTGAGGCTTGCCTGCCTCCTGCTAAGCCAGGGGGGCGCCCCGCGCGCTTTGAACGGCAGCTGGCTGTGCGGCCGGCCACCCCCCACACCGTCACGCTGCAGCCGTCCTCCTTCCGGAACCTGCGGCTCCCCAAGAGGCTGCGCGTCGTCTACTTCCTGGCTCGCACCCGCCTGGCACAGCGGCTCATCATGGTACCTTCCCCCGGCCCTGCCCTGCGCTTTGCCTTAGAGTTGGGGAGGGGGCCTCCTCTTCCACCCAAACCCGCTTCCCAGGTGAACAGCTGGTCTCGGGGGGCAGCAGCCCTGGGGCGTCAGGGGCAGGGGTTGTGACCCCGGGCGGGAGCCAGCCCTACTCCCAGTTAGGGTTCATCGCTGCTGGTCGTGCGTGGGCATCGGGAATGCTGGGCGGGCGGAGCAGATGGGCTTCCTGCCAGCAGGGCCTCCCCAGGGAGTGAGGTGAGGACAGGGCCTGTGGGTGGCCCTGCAGCAGGCCCGGCCTCGTCCCTCTTGCCGCTGACCCTGGGAATGGTCGCAGCTGAGATGGGGGCTGGCCTGCTGCTCGGTTTCCAGGCCAGGCCACCCAGCCCTGAGCACGGAGAGGGAACTGGGTCCCCGGGGCAGTTGGCCCAGATGGTAGTGGGGGCTCGGGGGGCAGAGAGAAGGAGCTTGGCCGTGTCCTCTCCCCGATGCCCGAGGTCCCTGTGCTGCCGCCTCTGGCAGGAGGGCCAGGCATGTGGGGTGGGGCTGCCCCTTGCGCCCAGAGCCCTGGCTGAGCACCCCTTGCCCCCTGCAGGCAGGCACCGTGGTCTGGATCGGCATCCTGGTGTACACAGACCCTGCTGGACTGCGCATCTACCTCGCGGCCCAGGTGACGGAGCAGAGCCCGCTGGGCGAGGGCGCCCTCACTCCCGTGCCTGTGCCTGGAGGCATGCTGCCCGCCAGCCACCCGGACCCCGCCTTCTCCATCTTCCCACCGGATGCCCCCAAGTTCCCTGAGAACCACACGTTGCCAGGGGAGATGCCCGAGTCCGGGGGTCTGGCCGAGGGCGTCCCTGACAGCCCCGCCCCCGAGGTCACCTGGGGGCCCGAGGACGAGGAGCTGTGGAGGAAGCTGTCCTTCCGTCACTGGCCAACGCTCTTCGGCTACTACAACATCACGCTGGCCAAGAGGTGGGTCGGGCTGCGTGCACCCTCCCCGGCGGTGTCAGCCCACCGTCCCCAGAGCGTCCCTTGCCCCTCGGGGGGGAACCCCCTGGTTTGAATGCTGTTTCCTGGCCGGCACTGCAGTGCCGGCTGCGCGGGCACTGGTGTCTGTGACGAGCAAGGCTGAGGGGCCAGGGCTGGGCTGGGGAGGGGCCTCCTGGCTGAAGCTGCCCCCGGCCTGTCAGGTACATCAGCCTGCTGCCCATCATCCCCGTCACGCTCCGCCTGAACCCCAAGGAGGCCCTGGAGGGGCTGCAGCCTCAGG